TTGGTATTGATACTTTAAAGGTGCGGTTTAATTTTTTTAAATATTTGCCTTCTATGGGACTCCAATCCGTCTACACACACAAAAAAAAACTTACCATTTTTCATTACATACCTGATTTTATTTTAGACACCTGTGGTTCTCTATGCAATGCAGACATATCATGTAGCTTTCTTAAAACATCTCAGCACCCTACTTCAGTACTCCTTTAAAGAGTCCTCAGCCCTGTTGCATGCAGTGCCCTAGCTCTTGGTAGGAATTATGCGATATCAAAATGCCTGGATGGGTAGGCGTCAGTCTGCAGGAGTGGGCATTCCTAAGCAGGCTGCATTTGCATGTGGATTGCCCTAGGTTATGCTCACATTTGTCATTGGGGGGAATCGTGCCCCATCATTGGTGTCATTGGGAGGAATCATGCCCCATCATTGGTTTCAATGGGCACCATTGTTGGTATCAACTGGGAGGAACTGTGCCCCGTCATTGGTGTCATTGGGAGGAATTGTGCCTCATAGTTGATGTTATTGACAGGAATTGTGCCCCATTATTGGTGTCAGTGGGCCCTATTGCTGGTGTCATTGGAAGTAACTGTGCCCCATCATTAGTGTCATTGGGAGGAATTGTGCCCCATCATTGGTGTCACTGGAAGAAACTGTTCCCCATAGTTGATGTCATTGGGAGGAATTGTGCCCCATGGTGTCAGTGGGCCCTATTGCTGGTGTTATTGTGAGTAACTGTGCCCCATCATTGGTGCCATTGGGAGGAATCAGGCCCCATCACTGGTGTCATTGAGCCCCATTGTTGGTGTCATTGGGAGGAACTGTGCCCTATCGTTTGCATCATTGGGAGGAATTGTGCCCCATCATTGGTGTCATTGGGAAGAATTATTTTCCCATTGTTGGCGTTAGCGCATGAAATATTGCCCCAAGGGCCATATAAAAGCAAGCAAAGGGCCACATCCAGCTCCAAGGGCCACAATTTGGAGACCACTGTACTAGAGTAAAGTCAGAGTTGCCTGGCTGTCTTGCGGATCCTGTTCTATAAATACACTGAGCTAAGGACCTGGAACAAGTATGCAGATAAGAACTTATGACTGGTCTGTATACTTATTCTATGTCAGTGGGTCAAAGAATAATAAAGCCAGAGGATCATCATAATAGCAAGGCAACTAGGCAACTAGCATTTGGTTATTGTTGGCAGCCTGTGTAATTCTCTCATGACAGGTTTACTAGATCTATCACTTCATTGGATATACCGTACAAGGTGACATGGCAAGTGACAAATTCACAAGTAAAAACAGATAGATACCTTTGAAATATCTTGATAGATGATACTGGTACAAATAGTTTCAAAAGGAAATCCAGTTCAACATGAAAGAGGAAGGGGCTCCCAACAACCATCCAACACATATCTAGTTTAAATAGGACCAGCCAGGGGGTCTGTGTGTAGCTGCACAGTCTGCACAAATGATATGCCTGCCCCTGGTCCCTAATGCTCATAGGTTATTTGGCTTCTATCCAAAATTGGCCTTAGAACGTGTATGATTGGCAGTAGACTGTAATCTGCTTACGCTATTGCTCTAGGTACCGTGTAAAGCATTGTAGAATATGCCAGCCCATAGTAAGTACAGAATATACCCTGAAATATTTGAAAGAATTGTTCTTGCTGTCTGCAGATACCAAATTTCCCCTTCAATCCCCCATATTGTACCAAGAGAAGAAAGGAGCCATGATCTTCTTAGGGTCCCTCTCAGGCCTTGCAACCTGCCCCACCAATAATCAGGACTTAATTTCTATTGACAGAAGAAAATGACTCACAACTTCTGCAGAGACCATGTGGCAAATCTGGTAGAGCTGAGAATTCAAACAAAAATGCTTTATTTCAATATTCTCTTAAAGAAGACAAGTTTATTTATTACAAGTACTTATATAGTGCCTTTATATAGATCGCTAGCTCACAGTCGTACAAACATATAGTAGGGCCAATAACCTACCACCATGTCTTTGGAGTGTTGGAGAAAACCCATGCAGGCACAGGCAGAACATGAAAACTCCAGGCAGGTGGTGCTGTGGTTGGGATTTGAACCAATGACCCTAGTGCTGCCAGGCAGAAGCGATAACCACTTAGCCACTATGCAGCTCTTGGCAGGTCACCTCCATGCTCCTTGATTCTGACTATCCTCATGGTTTCCCGTTGCTCTGTTAATCTGTCAAAACCCTGAATTTAAGCACTGTTGGTCTGGGTTGGAAGTTACACAGGGTTGATGACTGATTGGTCACTTAGGCTCTAGCCCTGCGTCTTCAAAGTGAAGGGAGAAAGCTATATGGTCTGCCATACTCAGAAGCATCTGGCATTTTTGAAGGCTTCAACAGATGAATGTTTGCAACATTGGTGCATGGCAAAGGCCAGTATCAATGAGCTTATGGGTAGGTTTTCAAGAGAAACTTCTCCAAAGTCAAAAATACTAAGTGACTGATTCATTGCCTCAACATTTACTCATGTTACACATGGGTGTATAACAGACTTTGAGTTGACCTACCCTTTAATGGTTGTTACACGTGGTCAAGGTTGATTATCTCAAGTTCATTCTTCCAATGTTTCCTAAGTTGACTGTTAGGTTCTACTTTTACCAGTTGGGTTAATGGTAACTATACAATTTTTAGACAGTGTCAACCACTTTAGGCCAGCTTGTTCATAAAACCCCCCTTATAGGGAAATTCAGCTGAACACTAGCATCTTTTTTTGATCCAAACCATAAAACAGGGAAGTTTACTTTGATCAGTTGCCTTGGCAATAGAATGTTGGTCAAAAAAGTGTCTATATTTGCCTAAAAACTGTAAAAAGGAATGTCTATCATCATTCCCAGCAGATAATTGCATTGCACAATACACTAGTTTCATACACCTTAGACTTATTGAGCTGTGTGCTTTATTGCTCCCTCCCTTACCAAAGCAAAGAGTACACGCATGCACAGACCACAATGGCCATGCTATGAAAACTCATAAAGAATTCCAGCCAAGAACTGACACATTTACAATCATTTTATCATTTGAAATCAAGACAGCAAACAAGATAGTTGAGGAATGTCACTGTGTTCTTTTAATAATTCTAGTAACATACAATACAGCATAAATACTCTTTTCTTTGTTATAGAAAGCGATAACTTAATATATAATCGGACTTGATGTACAAAAATAAATAGGTATATGATATGACATTGAAACGATCCCTTCATAGAAGAGGCAGACACAAATACTTATGAAGTATAAGTGGTGTATATACACATTAAAAGTCATATTCTCCAACCTGACCTAGGTAAGTGACACATAGCGGTTGGCCAACAGCTGTGGATGGACCTGCTATCCCCAGGACTGTCAATCAAATATACTTCCATATTACATCATTTGAAATATGGAACAGAAATGTCTGTTTAAATCTCTATACATATAGAAGAATAATCCTGTACTCTATACTGGCCTAAATTTAGACCCCCCCCCCCCCCCCTTCCAACCTCTGCTGATGTTATTGGTTTTCTTGAGAAAACAATTTACAACCAGATGGATTATGATAGGGGTTTAGTCCACCTAGAACTGATTATTCAGTTACATGGCTCCCTTCCAGAGATCCCTGTTTGGATTTGACTGAGGTCATTATACAACCAAAGGTGGGAATCTTCCAGCAGCTTTCTTGTGAAGATCCCAGCAGTACCAGTGAGATTCGTTTTGTAGAGACTTCAAGAAATAAACATGGAAACTCAGGTACAGGGAATCTTGCGACCAAAAGCCCTAAATGAAGTTAGAAGGTGTTTTAATGTAAAGGCAGAAATGAAAATAAAAAATCAAAGCCAGCCATAGACGCTTCAAATCTCTCCTGGTTCAGCAGAGATTCGAACTATGTATGGGCAGTCTGAATGTCCCAAGTGGATTGATCGATCAACTTGGGTACAAAAATCCTGCCGGATTTTACCTGCAGTTTTTGCTAGCTCCTGTTATAGCCGCTAGCAATAATCCCCGTGTTCTCCCGATGGGGACAGCTTCCCATGTCGGGAGAACACAATGGTTCCACAGGAGGGATTCCCCTGTCAACACTGTTTGTGTTGATGGGGAAAATCGAGTGGTTGCAGAAAAATAAATTGCTCCGTCTATGGCCAGCCTTATGTATCAGTTCATTTGAACATGCTCCTTATCACTGCACACCTGGTTGCCAACAGTCAACTTTTGAAGAATAAAATTATAATTCTTATATTTCTATACTATATTAGCAGGCTGCAATATAGCAAAATTCTACTGGTCCAACTAATCTGCACATCCCATTTAATAAGAATATGGCTTTATTTCTTTATAAAAAATATATATATATACTGTGACACCATAGCATAGCAGCCATTGTTATTTTACTAAAGATCCTTTTGAGCTCCTGATTTTACCCTTCTTGACTGAGGTAGGTTAACCCCCACTATGGACAATATTCAAGAACAGATCAGAGTACCCCTATAGAAAATTGCCATTAATGACTGGCTTACAGTCTGTGGGAAGCCTAGGCTTTGTCAGCTACAGGTTTAGATGAATAAATGTAAAATTCTGGAGCCAGTCAGTCCATTCTTAGAGCCAGAAAATAAACCACTTTAAAAATAAAGAAGTTATTTTAGGCTCATTGGCTATTTGGCTCCAGGAGCTTGTCCAGACCTGTGTCAACAACCAACATGGCTGCCAGTTAGCTTCACCTAACTTGTAACAGACGCTAAGGTTTGAAATACAGACAATGCCTTAGGGGTCCTAGCAATGAAGGGTTTAGTGACACTAATTTTCCCTTCATTCAAACCTACATGTGCTGCTCAATCTGATAGTTCAATCCAACAGGCAATTATCTGCACTGTTCCTTCTCAATAAACTTTCAATCCTCTCACCTTATGCACATTGACCAAACATGTTCTCCCTGACCCTTTTGCTTTCAGCATGTTCAGTTTTGTTTGATAGACCCTAGTAATGTTCAGAGTCGGATGCTGTTTAACTGCAGTTGGAAAGAGTACAAAAGTCTATTAAATGTTTAGGCTTCTTTGAAGGATCACAGTTGTCTTGAGGCAAGTTGCTACCTTCATAAGAGACGCATTTTAAAAGTCTCTTTCTAAAGCCCTTTCCACAGGTCTTAGAACATGAAGACCATTCTCCCAATTGCCACTGGGGGCAAGGGATGTCCGCACATGGTCTAATGTCATCTGGCTTTAGTTCGTTAGTGCAGTCTTTTGAAGGCTGACCCCTCAAGTCTTTGCATTCGACTGATCTCCTCTGCCAGCCTAATCCACAAGTCTTTGAGCATTCACCCCACTCCTTAATGACCCATTCAGAGAGAATGGTCTCTTTAATGGCGTTAATAGACTCTTTCTTTTTATTCAAAGTCTTTTCTGGTTGAGCTGCTTTCTTGACAAAATAAATGTACTTGATTTTCAATCGTTGAGATTCTCCCACCGTGAGGACCTGTATAGTGATTGGTTCTTTCAAAGGCTTGTAGCTTCGGATTCTTTCTAAGGATGCAGTGGAACCGCTGTAGGTCAAGAAGTTGCCATTGTAGGAGATGTCTAGCTCCAGTGTGGACAATGTATAATCTCCATTAAGGATGTAGGTTCCATCGGCAGCCTTAATTGCCAAAAAGCTGCCGTCATGCATAGATCCCCTGTTGTTACGTTGTTTGATCTCAATGTTTGTTGCTCCTGCAGGAATTGTAACAACGTCGTGGTACCCAGATCTGGTAACAACCAAAATAACACTATTAACACTCAAAAAAGAACAACAATTAAAATCCAGTTTACATAAATAATGTGTCTATATTAGTAAGAATTTCTAAACTTTTATTTAAAAGCCATAAGCAGTGATGTTTGCCTCATTCATAGGATAACTGAGGTTCTTCACAAACTAAAGTGGGAACTCCATGCAAACTAATCACTCTGTAAATCATGAATAAGAAAATGTATGTTCCCCCAGTTCTTTTGATGACAACTTTAAGGACCTATGCCCTACCTCCTAGTCTCCGTTGTTGTCAGATTTCCCACAGTCTTCTATGGGACTGACACTTTCTGCAGGGGGATTTAGGTGAAAGCTGCTAGGACCGTTAAACTGCCTGGATGAGGACTTTCTAGCATTAGATGAGAGATAGGACAACATTTTAAACACAACATTCACCTCTATTCACTGTTCAGCTGGTTATATTTTTCATGGAGCTAGTCTTTAAAGAGGATCTTCGGTGTTCCAAAAAAAAACAAATACTGTTTCTGCTGACTTTTAATATAAGGACACTTACCTGTCCAGGAATGCAGCACCATCCTCAGCCAGGCTGGTTCTTCACTGGTCTTAGGATCCCCTGTGCTGGTATGGTTACTAATGGAAGCTGGCTGCGAGTTCTAGCGGCTTCACAACCAGCTCCCTACTGCGCATGTGTGAGCCAATGATCTCACAGCTTTCTAGGACATGTGACATGTCCCAGAAAGCTGAGGGCTTGGGGGGGGGGGGGGACGACGTCTGAAATCCAAACAGAAGTGTAAGCAGGTACCCTACCCCCCACCAAAAAAAAGTGTGTCCAAAAGTGTTAGAGAAGGTAAGGGGGGAGGCGGAAAAGCGGAACTTTCCTTTTTGGGTGAAGTTCTGCTTTCAGTTCAAAAAGCAGTGAATGTGAAATTCACCAAACACTCTAGTTTTCAATAGAGCAAGGAAGTGTTAAAACACCTGCCAAGTTTTTAATGTTGTCTGTGTCCTTGCTTGGAAAATTCTCTCTTCACATTTGAACCAGTAACCACTGCTTCCAATACAGAAAGTGATGGGAAATCCAAAGTTAGAGATGGTGAAGGAGCAGGATGTGAGAGGAAATCTTCCAATGGGGGACACCTTTCTGACCAGATCTAATTTATTTCAAAACTTAAATTTGCATGTAGACGAAGATTAGAGAACACCTAAAGCAGAACCTTATCTGCTTTTTTATTACAGCCACACTTTTATTCAAAGTCACCTCCTAAAATGCTAAGGTGCTCCACTATTCTAAATCCCAACACCTTTCTATTCTGAAGAAAAAGCAAAATGGGCTTCACTGAACTGTAGGCACATGTGCCCTGTGTTAGCAGAAGTGAAAATGTCACTAACATCACAGGTTAGGGGGTGCCTACAGCATCACACTTGTTCTTTTGGTATATTTATGGCGGTGTACATATTTTTATCTGGCCAGTTTTTAAACTTTATGGATCTTGTGTAGTTTCTATTTAAACAGTAACAGATTAACTGGACTTTTGTCCTTTGAATGAGTTAATCTGTAAACGTGTCAAAAAAACACACACTATTCTTACACTTAATGTAATGCCCTACTGATTAATTAGACATTGAAATTCCTTTTGGTGAGTGCATCATTTATATGATCTGACAAAGGCTTAAGCAACTCATTAACTTTGAAAGGGTGAAAGATGAAAAGAAATGGACAGAAGATGTGAAAACAGACTTAGTTGCAACATACCGTGCTTTGGTGAAGGTTGCAGAGACTTTCTTGCACGTGGATCCATTTCCTCCACATACTCCACACTTGTCAAACTTCTTGCTGGATCCAATAACTCTGTCACAACCAGCCTTGACGCACTGACCCTGGATGCAGATGGAGGTGGAGTCGGGGCTGCATGGAGTGCCATCAGCAACCTGTATCGAGGCAACAAAAAATTACTCATTAAGTCCAACCACTAATGATTTACTGGGAAGCACACAAAGACGATACTTGCAAAATATGAGCTTAGTGTGGCTTTAAAAGCCTAAAATCTATCTTGAACATTTTTAAAGCCCAACTTCTGGAAATAGGCATGAAATATTGTACATCAATAGCCATACTTAGAATGATGGTTATAAATGTGTCCTGGATGAACAAAATGCTTATAATGGGAAAGAATAGTTGGCTACCCTGCGCATTCCTTTTGGAGAGACTGGTCAATGCAGCTACTCTCTCACTCTGCCAAGTGACCCTACCAACCCTCTTATATTTAATCCGGGCTCTTACCATTATCCTCCCCAGCTTTTATGTTCTCACTTGCCTGAACACTCCCTTACTGATGGTAAAATTGGGTGATGATTGGGCATAATCCACTAAAGGAGCCAATGTCATGGTTTCCTGCAACAGCTGATGGGATTGTAGTTTGGGATTGCACTACTCTTGCCAAGTATGGCATGTGTTATAGGAACATTTCATTCAGTATTGAAGATGAGAGTCCATAGAAAAGTAAAATACACAGACACACCTAATATGTTCTTTGAAAATTCTTGATTGGAGCTCTGCTTTAAACAACATTACTAGGTCATAAAGGTGTTTTGATTTCAGGGTATTAAAATGTATGAATTTCTGACAATAACCCATATGATTTGATGCTGAATCATATATGTAGGCATATATAAGGATATAATTTCAGGAGTTAGGAGCTTACCCTGGGGTTCAGTACGAAGAAGAATCCAGTGCCCTTTGCTCGGCACATAAGCTTGCAGCGGTCTTTTGGACGAACACCGGCAAACTTAGGTGTCCATTCAACAGCAGGTCCACTTCCAGTGGCAGACTTGGAGATGTCATTATGGGCTTCACACTGTTCTTCACGGAATGTCTTACCTGAGGAGAATACGTAAGACACATCAGACCATGGAAACTACTATAACTATGATTTATCTCTATGTTCAGGATTCAATCGTAAAATTAAATAATATTATTAATTTACCATTATTTTCAGGGCAGTCATCAGTATTGCATGAGCGATACTGAACTCTTTTCCCCTCGCAGTATTTTCCTCCATCTTTTGGCACTGGGTTGTTACACTCCCGCACTGAATACTGAACTCCACCACCACAAGTTCTGGAGCACTCTCCCCATGATCCCCATGGTCCCCAACCACCATGTACTGGAGTCTGTAATTATACAAAAAAAAAAAGGATCATTAAGCATCTTTAACTACACAAAACACATTCACAATTAAGACAATTGAAAAACCATGGTCATCTTGCAAAGCAAAATAACGATGGCAGCCAACAACAGATCAGCATTCCTTAGGTGAATCAAGTAGATTTCCAAGAACATATATTCAAATTGTTACTACAGAAATATACAGTCTAAGGCAGCCAATTGTTAAAATACTCCCTTATTATCTAGAAATATATCTTACTATCAACCTCTCCTGATATAAAACACAAATGTTTGCCAAAGGTGATATCGCATCTAAAGTATATCTGAACAATGATTTAAATTTCAAACTAGATTAAGCTATTAACAAAAAAAGAGTAAAAACTGTTCTGAAAAGTCTCCAACATGACAATATTGAGTTTATTGCCAGTCACAACATTTAAATGTCAAGGTATCATTTAAAGCTTGTGTAGTTTTTATCAAAAGATCTAGATATTCTAATGAAAAGAAAGCTGCCCCAGTGCCAGAGTTTGGAAATTGCCCAGTCTTGAAATCTGAATGTAGAGGCATGATCCAACAATAATGCTGAATTCCAAATACTAACTGAAAAGAATTATACAGAGAAACCAGAAACATACCTCATAATGCTTCTTGTCCATCTGCTCAACGCACTTCCCATTCAGACACCATTTCCCTTCTCCACAACTGGTCCCATCGGCCCAGGGGAAGTGTTTAGTTTGGCACACGAGCAGCCCTCCGGAGACTCCAGTGCACCACAAGGTCGTACACGTGCTGGCGGCATCTGGACAATGTCTGGAGTCTTCTCCAAATGTAAATTGGCACTGCTTATTGGCATCATACAATGTTCCAGGGAGATCTGATGGGAGCTGGATGGGTCTGCTTGGCTTGTCCAATAAGCACTCTCCTAATTAAATAAAAAACAAAAAGTTTGACTACAGCAAATGTTTTCAGAGAACATGCTCTCACAACTTGTGACATCTCGCTTGACTATGTGCCCAGTCAAATGTGGTCTTGGAGTTCATTTAAAGGGGAATAACTTTTAGTAAGATTGAAAGGACATTTTTTTACTTTCCTTCAAGCTCTTCCCAAGCTATAGCTGTCTACAACCTTTCAAAAAATTTAAAGTTCAAACAACAAGGATTAACCACCTTTTATTTTGATTCTGCATACAAAGTTTTACTTTATAGACCAACTTGAGCAACCAAAACAAAGGAGTTAAAATATTTATACTGATAAACTTTCAGAAGGCAATAGAAGCCTTAAAAAAAGCCCTCTTGTTTTTTAGTCTTAATTACCTGCCATCTGTATCCTACAGCCTGTCTTCAAAAGGTACAATAAACAAATGTGGTGTTGTAATGTTACACACACTTACCATGACCATTGTCCAAGAAAGATGTGATCATGTATGCACTGCATAGAGACCATGGTTCCTGTCTGTCTAGATTGGAGAGCATTGAAGCCATCATATGTGAATCATTATCATCGGCATTGTAGCTGGAGCAGTGCTTTGCATCATCATGTGGCATATTAAATACATGACCTGAAAACAGAAATGTTCCGTTTTAGAAAAATGCAGGAGAGGGTTTTGATTCCTTAAAAAATTAGAAAAATTCACAGTGTGAAGTGTACTTTACAACCCTTCTTTAAACTCAACAATGCACTTGAGGGAAGTCTTCCGCTAATCAAGACAATATTAAGCATTTTGCAAACTTTCCAAGTGTTCAAGTATTTCCTTATCATAAAAGTTTAACACTTCAAAATGCATTCCTTTCTAGGCTGCTTTGTAACTAGGGTGTCATAAACATCTTCTGACCATCTGTTGCGTCTAAACAAACATTAAATTCCTGCCTGAGAAGTTTATGTTTTAGCATAACTTATATCCCAGCCTGACAGCAAACCCCAGCCTTCTTATATAAAGCCAGAGAATCCTACCTAGTTCATGGGCTGTTGTAAAAGCTGCTTGCAAGCCGTCATCTTCAATGATGGAGCAACTGCGGCTGGGATCACAAACTGTTCCAACATCAGCCATACCAAGGGTATCACATGTTTGAGCTCCGCAAAGGTCCTAGAAAAAAAAACAGTTTCAATATTAATTAGCTCAAGGACAAAACTTTGGCGGTAAATGTTTAACTTTGGCTGCTGTCCCTGGCTTAAAAGAGCATAAATGTTTGAGATCTTTTTTTTTTTTTTTTCACTTTAGAGCACATCACACATCATAACGAGAAACATTCTGGGCTGCAACTGCATATCTTAGACATTTATGGAACATTAGACAGACATAAACCTGACTTACTTGTCTTGTAAACAGAATGGCTGTATCATAATGTTCTGCATGCCGATCGCTGGGTGGGTTATGCTGCTTCTGCCAGCTGCAGAAGTTCCTCAAAGTCAGGGCGGCATTGGTTGTGACCTCAGGTCCTTTCTGTTCATCGTAGATGACCAGGATCTTCACTACCACCAGGCTGATGGAGTTTCGGATGCTGGGATGCTTGTAAAGCTTTGCTGCCACTGACATCAGTGTGAGGAGGTAGTGCTTTAAATTGCTCCCGTGAAATTCAGCCATAGATTGGTCGGCTACCAGCATGGTTTCAACATAGCGAGGGCTGGAGACAAATCTCTTTTTCCGTGTGTTTCCCAATCCTGCACAGGAGAATGTACAAAAGAGCAACTGTCAATCTGCTGCACAGTTTAAACCATAATAAAAAAAAAAACTTAGAAGTGACACTCAGTATTTGCTATTTTTAGCATGAGTGTCAAGCCCTTTTAACAGCAAGTTGTCCTTGTTTCTCACATTAAGTCATCTTTGGCTTGCAAGTCAAGATATGAGTCACCTACCAACTTTTTAACATTGAAACAGAAGCAGGCAATCCCTGCACAGTGCTTGTATGTGGGGCCAGTGACAGATTACATCTCTGAGCCTGAAACCTCAGCACCTTTCCAACACACTGTACCCTTGTTCTAACAATCCGGAGCTCCATTAACTACTTCCCTCGCTGCAGAACCATCTCCTCTAGTTGGCCGAAACATGCACTTCATACAGTCCCTGCAAGCTTTCCTCCTGTTACAATACTTTATATAATTTGCAATCACATGTAGCAGTTTTTGTTTTTTAATGAATGGAGGTTCATGTTTTACAAGCCTTGTATAACAAAGTGCAAAACCATAGAAAGGTATAATTCTTTTCATAAAACTTAGGGGAACCATGCAAGCAGGGACCTGTCCAATTTCTGCAGTGATTTCATTCCTAAGCACACATGGTTTAACTCCTGCAACTCAGGGTTCACCGTACGCCTTCTTTCCAACCTGCTGTGCAGCTTGTGTGGTACACTGCCAAACTGTGAATGGCACAGCCCCATGGCTTGGCTCCATGGCATGCTGCCCTGCACATTTACCGGTTAGGGACGAGCCAATAAACTTAGGCAGAGAGTCAATTTTACTTTAATTATCAGGTGCTCTGCATTAAAACTTTTGGTGAAAAAAATTACAGTAAGACCTATTTTGATGAAATATGAGTTGAGCTAATCCCAGGACTAGGCTGGGTCCTTAAGGGTTTATTTGATAATTTGTGGCTGGTTTTAGATTTTCTTGAGCAAGATATGGGACAGACTATGTAGGGGCTTCTGTGCAATCAAAGGACATTTCCAGGGACAGATCTCCCAAACCTGTGAAACTATGGAATTCTTGGAAGCTGGCAACTATATATATTGTGTGCTCTCTCTCTCCCTCTCTCTCTCTCTCTCTCACACACAAATACAATTTAAAAAACCTTCTAAAATATATATTATAAACTTTCCAGGAATTCCACCCAGGTTGGGGATTCTTGGATCTAAGGACATTTCCAGGGACAGAACTGGCAGCTATGCACAGTTTGCATATATAAAAATATTATAGCAGTTTTAGATTTATAAAAAGCAAGTGCGCACAGTTACCAGCTTTCAAGAATTCCACACCATCCCAGTTTTGGGAGAGCTGTCTTTGAAAATGTCCTTAAATTGTAAAACTGAACATCTGCTGTGCAGAGCTCCTCTACCTATTTAGTTTATGTTCTGTATGCATTATAAATCAGAGTTGATACTCCTATTTATAAACAATGTTTTAACTGGTAAACGTATTGCAACAAAGTATCCATGGACAGAATGCCGAACATGGCTGCTCTGGAGGGAGTGTGGAGGTGTGGTACAAGGTGGGGATCCTGGTGATTGGTGCAGGGTGAGAATCTTGGTGATGGTGTGGTGCAGGGTGAGGATCCTGGTGGTGGTGTGGTAGAGGGTGAGGATCCTGGTGGTGTGGTGCAGGGTGAGGATCCTGGTGGTGGTGGGGTGCAGGGTGAGGATCTTAGTGGTGTGGTGCAAGGCGAGGATCCTGGTTGTGTGGTGCAAGGTGAGAATCCCAGTGGTGTGGTGTAAGGTGAGGATCCTGGTGGTGTGGTGCAAGGTGAGGATTTTGGTGATGGTGTGAAGCAGGGTGAGGATCTTGGTGGTGTGGTGCAAGGTAAGGATTTTGGTTGTGTGGTGCAAGGTGAGGATTTTGGTTATGGTGTGGTGCAGGGTGAGGATATTGGTGGTGCAGGGTGAGTATCTCGGTGGTGGTGTGGTGAAGGGTGAGGATCTTGCTGGTGGTTAAGGTTCAGGGTGAGGATCTTGCTGGTGATGCAGGGTGAGGATCTTGATGGCGATGGTGCAAGGTGAGGTTGTTGGAGGTGGTTCAGAGTGAGTATTTTGGTGGTGGTGCAGGATGAGTATTTTGGTGGTGGTTCACAGTGAGGATTTTGGCGGTGGTGTAGGGTGAAGATCTTGGTGGTGGTTCAGAGTGAGGATTTTGGTGGTGGTGTAGGGTGAGGATCTTGGTGGTGGTTCAGAGTGAGGATTTTGGTGGTGGTGTAGGGTGAGGATCTTGGTGGTGCTGTAGGGTGAGGATCTTGGTGGTGCTGTAGGGTGAGGATCTTGGTGGCAGTGGTTAAGGGTGAGGACTTTGGTGGTGGTTCAGAGTGAGGATTTTGGTGGTGGTGTAGGGTGAGGATCTTGGTGGTGCTGTAGGGTGAGGATCTTGGTGGCAGTGGTGAAGGGTGAGGATTTTGGTGGTGGTTCAGAGTGAGAATTTTGGCTGTGGTGTAGGGTGAAGATCTTGGTGGTGGTTCAGAGTGAGGATTTTGGTGGTGGTGTAGGGTGTGGATCTTGGTGGTGCTGTAGGGTGAGGGTGGTGGTGGTGTAGGGTGAGGATCTTGGTGGCAGTGATGAAGGGTGAGGATTTTGGTGGTAGTTCAGAGTGAGAATTTTGGTGGTGGTATAGGGTGAGGATCTTGGTGGTGGCAGTGGTGTAGGGTGAGGATCTTGGTGGTGATGTGTTGTAAGATGAGGATCCTGGTGGTGCAAGGTGCAGTACCTGAAGGGGTGAGGATCTTGTGGGGCTCCTCAGGGGACAGCTGTTGTGGGGTGGCATCAGTCACCCCGCACTTAGCCTTGGCCCGGCTCCTCTTGCTGACCAGATGCAGGAGCAGGGGGCTGTGAGGGTTGGGTGAAGCCGGGGTGATGGTGTGGTTGCTGGGTTGGATGAAGTACTCTTCCCCTCGGTAGTAGAAGGCTCCTCGGATCCCGGAGCACAGACTCAGCGCAGCGCTGCTCGCCCTCTCCCCATTGACGGTCCCGGAGTAGAAGCAGTCGGCCAGGTTGCCGGTCGCCTCAGCGATTTCTTCCCCGACGGCGATCTTAGGTCGCCCGACGTATTGCAAGCTAAAGTCCTTTGCAAGAAAGCTGGGATCTGCCTCCAGCTCCAAGGTCAAGGCTTGTCCAAAGACATCCAGGCGGTAGAGCACCTTCCCATCCTCAGGGGCCCCTTCCAGCCTGACAGGGGCCACCAGCTCCTCTTCCATAGACACAGCAGACAAGGCAATCCGGGCACAGAGGAGGACTGCCAGGCAGGGCAGCAGGCAACGCACACAGCTCATCCTGGCTGGCAGATGTGGTGTCGGGAACAGTTGTGCAGAAGTCGGGGAAAAGGTCGGCAGTTGAGGGGAAAGTTTTTGCAGAAGTCGGGAAAAAGTCGGCAGGGACGTCACTCCTTCTTCCCCAGCTCAGCTCTGCTTATAGACAAGGCGGCGGACTTAGCACTGAGTGTCGGGCATGGCTGGGGGATTTGTGCGGCACACTGACACCCCGTGCGCCAATTTATGGGCTCCTTCGGCAAGCCTTCCCGGGGCCCCGCCCCCAGGCTCTTTGAAGTGAGCTGATCTCATCTCGTGCGTAGTGCTTGGAGGAACAATCCCCTTTCCTTGTGCTGGAGCCCGGCCAAGATCATCAATCATGGGGACTGGGGAGAGAGGAGGAGGAGGAGGAGGAGAGGGGAGAGAGCAGCTGCCTGGCTAGCCTGGAAATCTGCAGCTCTGACATTACAGGCTGTGTGCCTCTGGAGCCTGCAATCCACAGCTCAGCCCTCTCACCTCTCCCATGCTGGCTGTCCTCATAGGGGATGGCTGCACAGTGCACACCAATGTAAGGACTATCCAAACCTAGCAGCACAAATGGAACATATTGCAGCTTACTGACCTATAGATGATGCGGCTGCATTCATTTTCTTCTTTCAGGGCTATTGTTTCCTTTTTTCACCTGTTGATCCTGAGAGTCAGGGCCAGGACAAAGGGTGGGCAGAAGGGCGCGGCTGCCCTGGGCGCAGTGGCATCATGTGAGATGGGGGGGGGGAGCTCTGTGGAGAGTTCCTACCTACAAGCTGGTGGGAGTAATAACTTCAGAGTAACAAGCATTTGTGCTGGGGATGAGAGTAATTGTGCTGGGAGGGAGAGGATTAATGCTGGGAAGAAGATATATTCTATAGGGGAGGGAGAGGATTAATGCTGGGAAGATTTATTTTGGAGGGATATGTGCTAGGAGGGGAGGGAGAGGATTAATGCTAGGAAGAAGGTTTGGGGGGGGGATATGTGCTAGGAGGGGAGGAAGAGGATTAATGCTAGGAAGAAGGTTTGGAGGGGGGGATATGTGCTAGGAGGGGAGGGAGAGGATTAATGCTAGGAAGAAGGTTTGGGGGGGGGATATGTGCTAGGAGGGGAGGGAGAGAGTCAATGCTAGGAAGAAGGTTTGGGGGGGGATATGTGCTAGGAGGGGAGGGAGAGGATTAATGCTAGGAAGGTGGGGGGGGGGGGGTGGTATGTGCTAGGAGGAGAGGGTTAATGCTCGGAAGAAGGTTTGGGGGGAGATATGCACTAGGAGGGGAGGTAGAGGATTAATGCTGGGAAGAAGGTTTGGGGGGGGGGGGGGATGTGTGCCAGGTGGGGAGGGAGAGGAGTAATGCTAGGAAGAAGGTTTGGGGGGGGGGGGGTATGTGCTAGGAGGGGAGGGAGAGGAGTTAGGAAGAAGGTTTGGGGGGGAGGTATGTGCTAGGAGGGGAGGGAAAGGAGCTAGGAAGAAGGTTTGGGGGGGGGGGGGGGGGTATGTGCTAGGAGGGGAGGAAGAGGATTAATGCTAGGAAGAAGGTTTGGGGGGGGGGATATGTGCTAGGAGGGGGAGGGAGAGGATTAATGCTAGGAAAAAGTTTGGTTTTTTTTTTTTTGGGGGGGGGGATGTGCTAGGAGGGGAGTAAGAGGATTAATGCTAGAAAGAGTGTTAGTGTGTGTGGGGGGGATTATGTGCTAGGAGGGGCGACTAGGGGATGCAGTGATGTACAATTTATTTTAGGAGGAAAAATCTGGAGGGGGGTGGGGCTTTGGGAGGTATGTGGAGAGTATTTGTACTGGGGTAGCTGTGCTAGGAGGGGTGATTTGTGCTGGTAGGAGGATTGGGGGATGATGATTTTTTGCAAGGGTGGGTTTGGGATTTGGAGGGGGGACTTGTGTTAGGAAGGGGATTTGTGCTAGGAGATGGGACTTGGGGAGGCAGAGGATTTGAGCTGAGAGGGGCAAATATTTCTGCTGGGTTGGGATTTCAGTGGGGGATGGGGGGGGGGGGATTTTTACTGGAAGAGTGGGAATTTTTGTCTGGAGAGAATTTTGGCTTGCAAAGAAAATTTATGCTTGGGGGTAAGCGTGCGATTAATGCTGAATTTGTTGGGATTTTTGCTGACACATAATGCTCATACATGTGGGGGGGGGGGGGGGTCCTTTTGGCATCATCACCCTGGGCACTAGATGACCATCATTACTACCAGTAACTCTGTGATTCCTTTGATAGAACAGGCTGTCCAGCAAAAGTGGCAGTTAGAGGAATGAGATATCCCATTGTAACATTAAAAAATATCCTTATTCTCCAAAACGAATCCATTCACATCCTCTACTTACAGTGACTCTAAATTCTGGTTTACAAATTAAAGTTCTATTCAGGTATGTATAACCCAAAAAAAGCCCCTTCTACTGTGCTCAGCCTCCTCCAGATTCCATTTTTTGCTGTGATCTGCCTTCCTGTTACAAGTTGTCTATGCTCATTCTCCATGGTCCCACTGCATGTAGGAACGTAGTCACCCTCCTGGGAAGGTCTATGGGATTTGTAATGTGCATAGGGCAGTGCACATGACTGCAACGTGTACTGCTTGTTCCAAATAAAAAGAGGTGAAGGAAAAAAGGAGAGGTTTGAGAGATCATTGCAGACATTACAAGAAGACAGAAAAACACAGTAAGAAACTATTGCATGGAAAATAGATTACAGGGCCAATAGGTAATGGATATGTACAGATTATTTAGGAGACAAGGATAGGTCATTTTAATGGGCCTGTAATGGATTTTTCATGAAATTGTTTCCTCCATGAGCTCCCAAACCTTTCATTTTCATTGTTCAATCCCATTTGTTTGGAATGAGCAGTGGATGCTAGTTAATTTCAATGTTTTATGCAGACTACATAATGCATCTCAGGAGCGAGCAAGAGAGGGTGGCTACTTTCCTACCTACAATGGGACCATGGAGAACAAATGTAGCCACCTTCCAACAGGAGGTCAGACCACAGCAAAAATAACAAATGTGGAGATTCAGAGGAGGCTGAAAGCAATAGGAGGTACTTTTTCAGTTAAGAATAATACTGGAATATATATATTTTTTTTAAAAACCAGAGTTTAGTGTCACTTTACCACTGATAGAGGTGCTTACAATGATCAGCATTTATTCATACAGGTAAAACCTTTATCTCAAATGGGAAAAAAAACATTTTCATTGCTTAAAATGTGTTAGCTGGATTTCAGCTTTCATTTGTTAGTCACTTATGTAAAGTCTGTCCTTAGTAAATAGTAAATCTATTATATCTAACTCTACACTCCCTGCTGTCCAAGGGTGGCTACTCTGCTTCTCCATAGATAGAGGAGCCACTCTAAGATGAGAAGTAAGTTATACTGGCCTAACCACCAGATACAGATTAAGGGGAAAAAGCCTGAAAACAGACAAAGCAACCACAACATCTAAGGAGTGGTAAACTGCAATATATTATGTTTGTGTTTTTGGGTTTAGTTACAGTTTAATGTGATTTGTGGCTAAAATGGAAAGCGTACTACTTATGTTGCATTCTGAAATGCTGGCCATACATACCTCCCAAATGTCCTTCTTTTGGAACTACATCTCTGTGTCTATCTTTCCTCAATGATTGATTACTTTTAGCATAGACCTTTGTCTAGAAATGTTCTGTTTTACTAGGGAAGGTGTATTGCTTCAAACCTTTTACTCAACCCATAAATTACTGGGTTTAACCACTCAATCTTTGTCTATGAATTCTTCATGGTTTCTATAACCAGGGCAGCATGGTAGGGGGTGTCTTTTGTCTACATACTTTGTGCCAAAGGAACTTCACCCTTACTATCCTAAATGAAAATGTAAACACTTGTATGAAAATATAAAAAAATACTTACTAGTCCAAGAGGTCTAATGTTGTCTTGCAGGCTAATAACATTCCTCTTGATTCAGCCTCAAGGTTCCTCTTGTTCAGCCTCTGCTCCCATGCCACCATCTTGAAATGAGCTCCAGCACAAGTGCAGACAGCCTGTGGAGACCCATAGCACGTCTGCGCATGCACAGAATCTATCACCCACTGTTGTCAGAATACCTGAACATTGGCTGCAGTCACTGTTCGGCCAACCGTTTTCCACCCAACTCCTTCAATTTTTCAAAGTTTGTCAAGTGGGATTTTGTCAACACGGCCACCCACAGCTTGAATTTCATTCGGTTCACAAGAATTGGCTGAAAATCAAGCCATGTATGACCAGCTTTACTCAAAGTAGAAACTGAACGATATGAGCCATATACGTAACAGCAAATGATCCATTGAAAAAAATGGGGGTTATTTATTAAAATTGGAGAGTGAAAAATCTGGTGAAGCTCTGCATTGAAACCAATCAGCTTCCAGGTTTTATTGTCAAAGCCTAATTGAACAAGCTGAGGTTAGAAACTGATTGGTTACCATGCACGGCTGAACTAGATCCTTAGTACTCCAGTTTTAGTACATCTACCCCAATATGTTCTAGTCTAATCTCCTATAAGGTGTAAAACTATCATTTTATTTATTCTCAATAATTTTTTTTTTTTGTTATCCAACTGCAATAAAAAAAAAAAAGTGTTAGTGTTTGGTTAGATCGCAAGGAACAAAAGTGATAGAACATCATGATGAAATGCAAGAATAATTCCAATGTGTGTGGTCATTGTAAGATTGTGCTGTGTACAAATCCAGGATGTATGTATTATGGAGTGTTAAAAAAGTGTTTGTGTTACTTGGGGTGGGGGAAGGGGTTTGAAAAGCCATTGGTGCCCAATTTACTGAATGGGGCCAGGACTATTGCTTCATGTGTTGTTTTTCTGCAAAATACAGATAAGGTACTGCTTCATTACAATATTTCACACAGCACATGGCAGGAGGCACTTACTGAGTGCAAATGCTAATTGTTCCCTTTTGGTGCTTGCATGGAAGTCCTTAAATTGCAAATGGTGACTGGTGTAATTGAATTGATCCTGTGTATTGTAAACACCT